ATATATCTATCACTGTCCATTATAAAATCCCAGTTTATCTATCTATCTTTCTATCTCAGCCTATTTTTTATCTGTTTATCTATATATCTACCGTAGTGTATTCAGATTATCTCTGCATATTCATTATCTATCTATCTATCTATCTATCTATCTATCTATCTATCTATCTATCTATCTATCTATCTATCTATCTATCACAGTCACATTATATCTATCTATCTATCTATCTATCTATCTATCTATCTATCTTTATCTATCTTGGCCTTTTTATATATCTATCTCTGTCCATTATAAAATCCCACTTTATCAATCTATCTATCTATCTATCTTTTTTTTTTTTTATATATCTATCTCTGTCCATTATAAAATCCCACTCTATCTATCTATCTATCTATCTATCTATCTATCTATCTATCTATCTATCTATCTATCTCAGGAGAAGGACACTCCAGACACCCCCCCCTCCCTAAAGAAGAGGATTTTGACCAAACAGGGTACTACCTTTACATCGCTAGATAAACGGATATCAAGTATAATAAATGGCAGTGTATGTGTTTTTTTTTTAAATTCTCGGCCTCACCCACTTACCCAAATGATCAAAAACTATAAACATTTTTGGAAGGGTTAAGAAAATATTTTTTTTAAAAATCACCAATCGATGTGCTACGAGTAATTATGCAGAATAGCATACATCGGGGTTATTCTTCGAGGTGAGTCCAAGAAACTTTCGACCAAACCTCGTTTGCATATAAAATGGTATATATATATATATATATATGTGTGTGTGTGTGTTTGTGTGTGTGTGTGTGTGTGTGTGTGTACATATATATATATATATATAAAAGAGAGAGAGAGACATTAAGGAATCTTGGTTCACAAATTTAATTTGCTCCTGAAGTCTGTTCGTAACCTGAAATGTTCGTAAACAGAAACTACTTTTCCAATATGAATTAATGTAAAATGGATTAATCCGTTCCTGGTCCAAAGATGATTGCTTATTTAAACTTTTACAACAATAGTTTGTGCACAAGTTTATACACAAAACTAATGAAAATCATTAAATCTAAGAAAAAAAAAATGAATAAACTCAATACTAAATAGATAAAATATAGACGAACATTTTAATTTTACCGTACCTGTAAGTAGGTGAGTTGATGGCGTAAGTGGAAGGAGGAAGGAAAGAGGTGTTATTGTTTGGAAAAGGGAAGGAAAGACATGATCGTCTCTTTATTTATAAGAATAGTATAGATCGTTGATTTTGCCATATGAAACTGAGTAGGAAGAGACAATATCATCAATAATTGTTTTTCTCTTAACTTTTCTTTTTCCTTTACCAGTATTACTGCTAGTTTTCTTTGGAGCCATGACTGATGAATAACGAAGAGAAAAAATGCGCAGTTCAATAAAATTGAAAAAGAAAGGCACAACACACGAATGTATACAACATGGCGGTCGACTCAGAAATGATTTCGTTCGGGTTAACTCGGATCGGTTCAGTTCAGTTCGGTTCGGTCGTCTCGGTTCGACTCAGATCGGATCGGTTCGTCTCGGTCGGACTCCTTACGATTGTGTTGTTCGAGAACCGAAATTTTGTTCGATACCCGAAGCATCTTCATTTCGAATTTTCTGTTCGAAAACCGATTTGTTCGATATGTGAGACGTTCGAGAACCGAGGTAGATATGTATATCTACATTCTGTTTTTCATGTGGATATGGTATCGAGCAAATCGATGTAAAATAACATAAAATTCATTCTAATAATAATTGTACATTTTGTTCCTCACCGTTTGTTGCAATTCGTGCCTGACGATTAGCACGTGCATGAAACTCAGAGTAATATCAATTGATGACGAGCATGTGTAAATATAAAATGGACAAAGTACGACAATTATTTTAAGACTTTTTAAAATATTTATACGTTCTTTTTATAGATACAAATATTTAAGTAAATGTTCTACTTATAAAAAAAAAACAGCATTAACGACATTTACCGGCTTTAAAGACCGAGAAATTTTCATAGAAAATATTCGTCCTCCGACAGGAATCGAACCTGTATCCTATACGGAACAGTCATATAGCCTGACGTGCATTTAACCGATTGGACCACAGAGGAGCGTTTCTGTTAGTAAGGTCGATTTGGATACGCATCGAGCAGATATGAATGTACACGAGAAAATCAGGAAGAATTATAGTTTAAAAACAGTAAAAATCGATAAAAGCAAGTCAGGCTATTTTCTATGACAAATTCGCGGACATTCAGGCCGGTAAATGTTGTTTAATAGTGTTTATTATAAACAGAGCATTTACTTAAATATTTGTATCTATAAAAAGCACGTATAAACATAAAAAATGTCTTTATATATATATATATATTTCTGACGTGTTTCATCCGACTGGGGTTGACAGCAAACCAAGTCCGAGGAAGTCCTAAGATTGCATTTTTTTTTTCTTTTTGACATAATATTAATTTACTGATACAAGTATTGCTTATTTACCCATAGCTGGAGGGGTGAAGAAGTGGATCCATAGCTTTTCCCAAGGCCCGTAAGTAAGCATAATGAACCCAACTGGAATTGGAACTCAGCTCTCCGATTAACAATCCAGAGCAATTATCCATTACACAGCCAGCACATCCAAGCTTACCGCACCTTGTATTCCCAAGAGGTCACCCATCAAGGTACTGACCAGGCATGACGTTGCTTAACTTCGTTGATCATACGGGAAACGGTCTTTCAACGTAGTATGGCCCTTCAGCCTTTGCCATTTGTAAATCAAAACAAAGTACAGATAACTGTTTATGAAGTCTGGGATCGAGTTGATGCTGTGTTTATATTATGAAGAGAACCCTCTCTTCTAAGATGATGAAAAATTATATTTTTTCGATTCTGAGAAATATTGTGGTAGATGAAGGTCTAATGAATTCAATATATATATATATATATATATATATTTGTATTTTTTTTAGTAAACCCCTATTTTTATGAAGGGACCAGTAAATTTAAGTAGTGCACACTACTGATTTTGAATTCAGTCTGGCCATAGGATTCTGTGGGCAAGCTGGTTAAAATGTTATCCATTGGTGGAGCAAGAAACAAGTTTAACAGAAACATGAATGGACATTTAGCAACTTTGTTTTTTTTTTTTTGTTTGTTTTTTCTTCTTTATTTTTTTTTCTTCATTTATTTATTTTTTAATATGCAAATATATGCAAAGTTAGCATCAGGATCGATATTATGATTTGGCGAATATCGATGACTTAACTATATTTGTTTGCACGTGTTTACGTTTTCCAATCGGCTAATATAATTTTCGATTTGTCGTTCAACAAGATTGATATTTCTTTTTTTATTTTTATCGAACGATTGAAAAAAAAAATGAAATCAATCAACGTTTATAATTGGTTTGATGTTTTTATTTTCCTTTAACAAAAATAACCCCACCCGCCAACCTTTAGTCTTCATCCCCCAAAAAACAGTGACCGAATTTCTCCCAATAACTTGTCATGTGCCTCCACGACTTCCCTAGTTACAGTCGGCATCCGTTTATCTAGCGATATAATCGTAACACCCTGATTGGTCAAAATGCGCTCCTTTAGGGCGTGAGTCTGGAGTATCCTTCTCCTGGGCGCAGGCCTGGTCGATGGTATACCGAGTGTAACAGCAAAATTGTCCAAATCGTGTAACAGCAAAATTGTCCAAATCGTGTAACAGCAAAATTGTCCATTTGCTAGATTAAGTTTTGAACCGTTCCATCTTAGAAATGATTAAAGATATCTTACTGGAATTCTCCAATGCTTTTATAACACCATTGGACTCTACTTTGAGCGATAAGAATGTATAAAGACTCTCCAAGCGTAACAGAAGATTGGTGATGAAATCGACCATAAACGAAAAATGACATATTCATCGTAGCTAAGGATCGGAACCTCATAAAGGATTGATACAAAGTTCACACACACACACACACACACACACACACACACACACACACACACACACACATATATATATATATATATATATAATTATTATTTATAAAAAATTATAACGTAAATATGTTATAAAATCACTACAAAAATAGCCATTTTGTTTCCAACACCCTCAGTGTCTTATCAATTGATAACATACTGAGGTTGTTGAAACAAAATGGCTAACAAATTTTCTTAGCATAATTATGTTATAATTTTTTATAAATAATAATTATATCTGCTCTACTTTGTATTGAGCACTCTTTTAAGAATAGTATTTGTTGGTTATTGGAATTCATTCCGTATATACCAATTATATACTTGGTATATATATATATATATATATATATATATATATATATATATATATATATATATATTATTCAGGATCATTTTCCAACTTATTCAAGATGATCTTCACCCTCTCTAACTTTCTAACTTTCTGTCCTGGAGTAACAGGAAGAGGGATCATCATTTCAAATTAGAGCTAAATAGATTAATTAGAAAAGATTCAACTTAATCCGTAAGACGTTTGGCACGTGAGAGAGAAGGTTAAGCTATGACAGTCCAAAGAGTAGTGAAAAAAGTTTTGAAAATGAAACCGTATGGCGAAACGTCTTATCTGAAAAACTGGAAAAAAGAAATTCAATTAGTTTAGTGTTTTTTTAGATATTAAACATTTTGTAGGATGGACAAATATCGCATGCTGTTACACGATTTGGACAAGTTTGCTGTTACCTTTATCATTCGGAATAGTGGCGCATCACGATCTTCCTGGTGCTACTTTCCTTCTGAAATATCACAGACCTTTGTAAATGTTCTGTCCTTTGAAGATGTAGGCGATAATGGTCGTCTACAATTTCTTTTTTAATATGTTTGAATTCTCACTGGAAAGAGTGTGGTTTCCAGTTTAACCAATAGAGGGGGATAGAAAAGGTGTGTTCATGCCTTTCCCAGGGGTGTTAGTGCGAAAGTGAGAGCAGCTATTTTCAACGCGGTTCACTCCCCTCGTCAATAAAGCGTTTATGAATTTATGAGCCCGCCCAATGAAACGCTGAAAACAACGCATTTATGTTTCATTGGTGCTTGTGGACACGAGCTGGCGGGGTGGAGCCAATGTACGATCCACTCCCAGGCTGCCGAGTCAAACCTGCGGAAATCGCTGACTTTTCGAACAAGTAACATGAGCGCCTGTCGCTGTCGGGAGTGACCTTTTAGCGTTGAACTGATGAGAACATGGGAGACTCTCGATGACGGTGGCTCGTCAGTGAGAATGTCTGGCGAGAACAGAGCATTATTCAGCTTGTCGCGGTAAAACCAAGGCCTTTAGTCTGCCCCTCCCGGTTTAATATACTGAACAAAAAATAAAATAAAAAATAAAAAAATAAAAAAAAATAAAAATAAAAAAAAATCGGGTGGTATTCGTTAATAAGTAACTTTTATATAGGTAAGGTACTTCTCGTCAGTAAGTCTGAATAATGATTTTCCGAGCGTAGCTGAAATGTTGCACAAGGCCGAAAATATGGGGTACCCAGTGAGGATCGAACTCACTACTCAGTCGTAATTATCCTAGCGACACAAGCTTTCTAAACATTGTAGGTGTATAGCTGGCCACTCGTAATCAAGGATACTCGTCTACTAGGGCGGTTAGCCAATCCCTACCGCAGACGCTTGCCCAGGCGCGTTTGTGTTTATTCTATGCACCCACAGAGCCCATCTGAGGTTTATACTGCAACTAAGCTGAGCAAATCTTAGTTAAAGTTTCCGGGAAAGAGCGAGTTATCTAGCGTGATTGACAATTTAAACAAGGCTTGCACGCTTACACCCTCAGCCACGATGACTTGGTGACTTGCACAGCTATCGACGTCCCCCAAGGGTTTCGTCTGCACAATTTCACTCACAAGGTTTGGGTCAGACCGTGGTATGGTTTTCAGGCACTTTCCAAAGAATGACCCCCCCCCCAGTCCGATAACATCAGGAAGTCTCTTTCCTGTCAAATCAAACATGGTGAGATTCGAACCCGGGTTTCTGTTATACCAGAACATTACCTATTCTATTGTAATAGACTCTCCCACAGATAATAAATAGTAGTAGCAGTGGCCAGTTGGGCTCAGTGGTGTTGAGTGAGTCAGTCGATGTCGGACATTGAAGTATCAACCATCACAACTAGATTGCTGCGTCATTAACTCTTATTTCAAGTTCATAACGTTTTGTACGTCGAACCTAATTTAGGACGACTTATTGAAATACAAGCCTCCACTGTGAAAACTACTCTACAACAGTTTCAAAGTCAGAATACGAACATTCTAACCGCTCGGCTACGTGTCCATAATTTCTAAACGTTCATCCCCTCGACATGTGGTTGTGTTGGTATCATTTGCAGGGAGTTGAAAACATAGAAAGTTACGTTGTTATCCAGGTTTGAGAACGTAAAATCTCTAACTTAGATCATGTTAAAACTTTAGCTTAGATAATAAAGAATAAATTCAATAAGTTACTGAATTATTTATTTTTTAATGTTATTAATATTAGATAAAGTTATATTTTGAAGGTAAGATATATGAAAAAGTGGAAAAGGTTTCCGTGTGACGCGGTTCGTCCTATTAATCATCAGATAAAGTTTATTTTTATGTTGATTCAACTACGCATGCGCACGAACGAGAGACGCTGGGATTTTTAATTTAAAGAGATTAATTTAAAGGGTTGATTGACTATAAAAAAACAGGTTGTTAAGATGGTTTTAGTGTTACCAACTTACCTATAACCATCTTTATTCCCCATACTAATTTGGTCGTCAGAAAAAATATCTATATAACATTAAAAAAATATTCTTTTTGTCTGTATGCAAATTTTAAGTAGACATTTTGAATTAAAGTACAGGAAGTTGTGGCGAGCCATGGACACTTTCCTGTTGAAAAGACGGCATATCAATGATAAAATCTATCGACATAAAGAAAGCAACAATAATAACAAAAAAGGTATCTGCATAATTTGCTAAATAATAATAATAATTTGAGTCACCATTTCGAGTTGAACTGAACGAAAACGGTTTTTCAAGGGGAGATAATTTTTGCTAAATTATAAAATAATGTCTCTTATCTATTTATTTATTCATTTGCATGTGAATAAAAATTATCGATGCCGAAAATAACCCCCTCTTTTTCATTTGATACACAGATATTAGCGTAATCTTCAAGAAAGCGAATCCAGTGATAATATCTTTATCAACTTAATCAGGTTTGTCTAGTAATATTACTTAAAGGGATATCGCTTAACGATTATAAAGTCAAGTTAAAAATTGTCAACAAGGTTGAAGTTTTATCAGTTCCAGTAAAAGCGGCAAGAATTAAATGTCTTCGCACTTTGACGGTGAAAAAACTAACAATTTAACATTACACCCGCCGATATAACTACTTACCAGAATATAGCATAACGATTAAACTTATCTATCCTATTTAATATTATCTACTCAAACAATTTAACCCTATCAAAATTAATGATTAAACATTATCTATCCTATTTAACATTATCTACTCAAACAATTTAACCTTATCAAAATTAAAGATTAAACATTATTTATCCTATTTAAAATGATCTACTCAATTTAACCTTATCAAAACTGACGATTACACATTATCTATCCTATTTAACATTATCTACTCAAATAATTTAAACTTATCAAACCTGATGATTTAGCATTATCTATCCTATTTAAGATTTTTAATTTAAAGATGAAGATATATATATATATATATATATATATATATATATGAAGAAAAATATACTGAAAAAAACAAACAAAAATCCTAATATGCGATTATGCTATCTCAGTTATCTGTTTGGTTTGCTATTGCTTTTATGTCCATCGTCTTTTTCATGTTGAATTGTATATGGTCTATGTTAATTATGTTTTATGAAGATGTCCTGAAGATGGTCTATTAGACCGAAACGTCCGACGTTGACATTAAACATTAAAACAGCATAATCGCATATTAGGATTTTTTGTTTGTTTTTCAGTATATTTTTCTTCATACTGTCGGATCTATATCCATATATATACTTATATATATATATATATATATATATATATATATATATATATATATATATATATATATATATATATATATATATATATGTGTGTGTGTGTGTATATATATATATATATATATGGACCAACACAGACTAGCAGCACCAACGTCTGGACATACCTACGGATCAAACCCAGAAGCAAGACACTAATACTGACCAATCTTACTAGTAAGATCACTCGTTCGTTCCCGCCGCCTGTGTCAGGATTCTTATACCGGAGCACCATCTTAAGCCAGGGCGTTTACACTGTCCCACCAACCTTGTTAGAACACTAACAACCCTCATACAATTCTACCTCACGAATACAGTCCAAAAATCTAAAATTCATTCACCGCGTTTGCCAAACGACATTTGGCTTATTTGATAAAACCGTTGATTATATTTTATTTAATTCCCTAGCAGATTTGAGTTTTCAGGCTATTCTCACGATGACCATATTCCGTATATTAGATTATTCATCGGAGAAGTAATTGTTCTGCTGATAATGATAGAAACAGCATTCTAATGTTGACAGAATGGGAATGTTTATTGTTATTACTATTGTACACTTGACGTCAATTTTGACGGCAAGAAGGAATCTATCATAAGTAATATGTATTATATTGTAAGTAATTTTCGTTTAATTCAAGTACAATTTTGTAATTTGAAATAGTTCATTGTTAACGTTAATAATATTACAGTGTACAATTTATAAACACCTAAGAAAAGATATCTGTATACTATCCTCATAAATGTTACTTATTAACAACCAAAAATATGTTTACTGCAAAAGTTCTCAAAGCACAATATTTTTTGTGTAAACTTTGGAAAGCTCTGAGCAATCCTTGACAGTCTGTAAATTCAATCTGGAATTTCAGAGTCTATTTCTCATCCTAGTAAGAGTGATAGAGGAAAGGATGAAGAGAAGGATAGGGGATAGATCAAGGCATCTGGAGACGTCGATTGACATTACATTTGAATAATTGGAGATTATAGCTATCAGGGAAACAAGAAAAGGGGAGGGAGTTCCACAGGCGAGAAGTGCGAGATATGAAGCTATTGGAGTAGAAGAGATGGTTATATTTAACAGTTTCAACAGTGAAAGGTTGTGAGCGAGATGCCAGCCTAGTAGAAAGCAGCTCATCGGAGCAGTTGCCATGAAAGTATTTGTAAAAAAGACAGAGGGAGGCGACGACACGTTTGTGAGAGAGAGCGACTGCAGACGAGATGCCAGATCAGGGCCAATTACATTGCATATCTGTCTCTGGATCTTATCAAGAAACTTGAGACAAACAGAAGGGGCTCCAGACCATATATGGCAGCAATACTCCATGCAAGGTCGAATGGTTGATTTGTTACTTTACAAAAACAAATTTCAAACAAAATATCTTGAATTAATCCATGCCGGGCCAACGCAAGTGTCTCACCCCAATTCTAACTTATAATACGAAAAAATAATTTATTTATGTTATGGAAATTATTTTTTTATAAAATCTTTAAAAAAGTAAACTTGATTTTTTGGGTTTTTTTTTCTTGTTACTAACATGAAAAAAGTAAATAATTTTAAATTAAGTTTTATCAAAGCAAAAACTCTAGCGAGCCTTATTTTTTCAGCAATTAATTTAAATAAAATATAGTTAAATTGATAAAATAAATATGCAACATGACTAATATGGCCCGTAACTCAGGCTTTTCTCTCATGATTTTTTTATTTAAGTAAGGCTCTTTCTTTCTTTTCAAAAACAAATATAACTTGAATTTGGGCGGGTGATTCATCGTTATTTTTGCACACTTCCCCTCAATTGTTAAACACTCACAAAAATCAAACATAAATATATATAAAAATATAAATATATATATATATATATATATATATATATATATATATATATATATATATATATATATATATATATATATATATATATATATATATATATATATATGTATGTATGTATATGTATGTATGTATGTATGTAGGTAGGTATGGCGTATTAAAACGCCATCTCGACCTCACTGGCCTTTGGCTCTAAGCGGAGGAATGGTAAAGAGTCAAAAGTTACTTTGACTAACAAAAGACGGGAAGTTGCAGACAGCTATGATGGCTGAGTTCCTGAAAGGAATTGTCATATGAG